AAGGGTGCAGGGATAATGCCATTGTCCTTGTGGCACAGCAAGCCTAACGTAGTACCACACAGTCACTTCTCCTCCAGCGTCTCATCCCCTTTCTGTCTTGTGTTATCAACAGGAATTTGACACTCATGGCTTAAGAATTCTGCTATTAAACATGTTGCTGTATTTTTACAAGATACAATTGGGAAAAGTGGAAGTTGTATGAGGTGGTTTTCGCCCTGGTCATTAGCCATCTTACAGCAAAAACACCCAGACTGACCTTATGTTGAGATACCATCCCACTAATTGGATTTTAAGGGGGATGTATCTAACCTGAGGGAAGAAAAGGGCGATTGGGGACATTGATTTCCTTCATGTAACATTTTTCATCCCAAAGCCTACCTCCATCCATAATTAATCTCTTGGGCGCTGCTGCTCCTAATTGACGTCACACTGACTACTTTTTGTGCTGGACAATTACGGCTCTCGGCTCGGACGGTGGCAATACGAGCAATGGGGCTTGTCTCGGGTGAGAAAACACTCCACGCCTCTCCTATTACAAGGAGAGGTGTTTAAGGGGGGAGTGGTGGTACTTATACCACTATCACTTGTAGTGAACATGAGCATGTGTTTGGGGAATGAGACCATTGGTGTTGGAACCCAAAATGTCTCTCTATCTGTGCCTGCTGCTCTTTAAAGAGAGAACCAAATTGCCATTTTAAGGAGAAAGTGAAGAAACTGTGTCTCTTAGATGCCAATACACTGTTTATTCTCTCTCTGCCTCTCACACACAATGAGGCAGGACAGTCTGTTACCCCGAAATGAACCAAACAAGGTGGTAATTAGCAGATGGTGGTGGCTTTTTCGCTGTTTCCGGGAGCTGTACTACTGTCAGAGAATTGCCTGTTTAGACACCCACTGACACCCCCGCTGATGACATCTCTGCATAGCTTCCGCTCTTATTTAATAAAGACATTGTGTCAGTGCAAGCCCGTTGTAATTTGACTGCCCATTTACTGGATGCCATGGTAAATATCTCTACTGCTAGTCAATTGTTTTGGCCCTGTTGAAGTGAGGCCATGCTGGTGAGCCAAGCTGCAGGGATGTCACAGAAGACGAGTCTTTTTGCTTTTGCCAGAGTAGCTGTTGTGCCTCCTGCAGCACTATGACTGATAGATTCACCCGAGTGCTCCGTTTTAAAGTGTGCAAGCTTAAATGCCAAAAAGATCGTGTTGCACCGTTTGATCAAAACTTCAATTTGTCCAACACTATGAGCAAATACCCAAACATCAGCATGCGTGCATTATCATACATGTATTAGCGTTTAGCTCAAATAACTGCTTTGCCCAAGTAAAAGTTCACAGAGCCTCACAAATAAATTCTTCGTCTTATTTCTACTGAATTCTGCTCTAAATTTGGCAATCAAGTCAAAGCGATGTTATTTTTTCCAAAAGACTTTGGGCAATTTTTCAAGTCTTTGATGCGCTGTAGCTTTTGATTGTTTCCGTTACAGCAGTAAAGTTGAGTCAAAAATGGTTGTCCACACTGCTAAACCTGTTTTACAATAGTAGAGGGACTTGAGCTCTTGTCCGGTCTTTTGGCTGAAAAACAACTTGTCTCTCAATGAAAGACTTTTCGCAAAGCGCTTCAATCGTTTTGACATCAGTGACGGGAAATGACAGATGGTGAGGTGAGCTGAGAGTAGCGCTTTCCCACGGCAGATACCAAAATCTAAAAGTCCTGGGGGAGTGGGGATAGCATGATGGGCAGCAGCATGTGCTTTCTTTTCATTCCTGTGTGATAGAGAGAGACAGACAGAAAGTGGGGGTTTTGTTAGTACATCCATCTGATATGTTCTCACTCTTTACTTAGATTTAAATTGTCATCTATTATTTTTATTTATCTAAGTAAGGTCACTCCTCTCTTCTCCTCCTATGTATAAAATGCTGAAAACTAATAGCAATTTTAGAAAGAGCCCGAGGGAGGGCTTGGTTTCTATTTCCCTTCATCCGGGCTGATCTATTGGACAGAGAGGGGGCTGCGGTGGAGCCAGCGACAGGTGGAGATGCACACATCACTTGAAAGCCAAGGCTTCTATAATGAGAGAAAACAAAAGGTTAAGTGCGGTGGAAGAAAGAAAAAGGGGGCGATGCAGGGAAGGCCAATAGCTATCCAAACAGGATTGAGGAGCCCTGTGGGGATCTCGCCCAGGGTGATGAATCTCTACAGCGAGGGAGGCAACGACGCACAGTCAGAGATGGAGCGATAGAATGCGATGAAAGGGCAGGAGGAGATTCCATGTGTGTTCCCATGCATCATCCTTACTCAACCCTCCAAACATCCCCCTCCACCCTGTCCTCCCTCGGTCCCTCTGTTTTTAATGATTCGCCATCCTAGAACGAACTCCCCCCACCTTCCCCTCCAACTCCCCCCTGTATGAGAGAGTGTCTAATGGCCAGATGACAAGGCACAAAGGCTTCTATTGTGTCCCGCATGCCTCGCACTACCCAGCCTGGCAGGCCAGCGATGCGCTGCCTTGTAACCTAGCGGGAAGCTGAGAGTTGCTGCTCCCTCTTTCTCTCTCTCTCTCTCTCTCTCTCTCTCTCTCTCTCTCCCCCCCCCCCCCCCATATCTGGAGATATGATGTAGCACGCTAACACAACCTGACAGGCGGGCCACAAACACTGCACTGTTAGAAGCACTTGAGAGGGAGGTTGCTTTGGGCATGGGGAGGTGATTTGCATGTGTTTGTGTGTGCATGGGAGAGAGACGGAGAGATTGATTTTGTGACCCACTGGGATATCTAGCCTTGGTTGCAGGCATCCTGTGGTAACAATTAGCTCCATCCACTGTGCATACTGAAACCAGTTGACCAGAAACCAGCTCACTGAAGGCAGTGTGCGGAAATGGTTCCAGGGCGGCAAATCCAAGCATGATAAAAGCCGCGGTGAAGGCAGAATCACTGCCGTCCCCTTTAACATGGGCCCAGGCCTGACCTGGTAGGGGAGGGAATATAGGATGTATATTGTTTGTGTGTGTTTTTGGGGTTTTTCATGTCTCATAGCTTCTGGGAACAGGGACCACAGGCTTGTGGCTTTCCAGTTGCAACGCGTAGCCAGACCCAGCTTTTGTTTCCTTGACCTAAATTCCTCACATTCATCGTGCCAGTAGAAACTCTATAGAGTTATATAATGAAGAGCCATGCTTCCCTTGGCCCCAGCCCTCTCTCGCCCCTCTGCCTTGCTGCAGCTACTGTTTCAACTTCAGTGAAGCAGCAGGCACACTACAAAGCCTAAGAATTCCATAATCACTTTGAATTATCAGCTCGTGTGTGTGTGAGAGACTGCACAGCAAAAGCTTTGAGTTGTGCAAGAACCTACAAAAGCTCAAATATTTTCAACGTCCCTTTTTGGCAGATGTCAAGATTTGAGAATCAACCCTCTCAACCAGGCTACATAATGCTGCTGATCTGCAGTCACAACGGTGGTTGTTTTTTTTTCCCCCTTAAGCGATAAATAAGACGAATTAATTTATTGTACAATATTTTTGAATTTGGCAAGCGATAGCTTTTTATTCCCTAGCAGCCAAGTCCATTCTTCTTGCTGAAAATGGGTATCACAAAAAATACTCTTCAAGTTTCAGAGTAGAATTCTTGAGTGTGGGATGCGTAGGATGCTTTAAAAGTTTTTTTTTTTTTTTTTTTTTTGTTTTACTTTGAGAATATTTCTCTTTGTTACGACACAGGCTGATCATGTTTTATTCTGTTTCTTTCTGCAAATTTCTACTCGTTTGAACTCTGCTACTCGTTCAGAAGACGGGAGCTTTTGTGTGTGCGTGTCTGTGTGTGTGTTTGTGATTGTGTGCGAATATTGGTAAATAGATTTGAATGGAGTTCAAAAAATGCTTCATACGAAAATCAAAGCAAGTCTACAATGATTTGTGAGTGTGCAGCATCTAGCACGCCGACTCAAAACTTTGTAGTATGGTAAAGTATTCATCAGGAGATTAGCCGACAGCAGAATTAGTCCCACAATAGTGAAAGTCATGACATGTGTTCACAGTCTCTGTAGGTTTCCTGCTGGGAGAGGTGTGTTATCTAACTTGTGTTCCTCGATCTAAGCAGATCTCACCGCCTGGCTTCTGCTTGGTTTTGATTTGTCAACATCAGATCTACGGGACTTTAACACATGTGCCAGAGAATCTTTTAGACGTTGCCAGCAAACATTCCCGCATTCCGTCCTTGTAGAGATGTGTGTTTGAAACCACACACCAAAAAGCAGATGTCGAACATGGAACTATTTTGATGAGGCGCATTACAGATTGTGTTGCACAGTCAGAACAACTGCAACATGTTAGATAGTGGTCATCTGCATGCGGTTAATTGTGTACCCCCTGCTAGACGGCTTTGAGGCGCTGGTTTTTAAGGCCCACAGTAACTGAAGCCATATTCAAAGCACATCTGCGTGTCCCTTTCCTGAGCTGCTGCCCCATGCACAGCTGGAGTCTACACAGAGGAAGAGCGCTACTGTAGCAAACACAAGGGACTTCTCTCTCTGATACTTCCTTCTCTCTTTGCATCTCCCTATTTCCTCTCGCTGACATTCTGTCGCTCAGAGGAGAATGGTAAATTTCCCTGTTCTTTGAAGATGACTTCCTCAGCCCCGTAGTGCTGTTGTTCCAGAGAAGCAACAGTCCTAATGACAGTCCTAATGCTGCATGCCTCCTGCTTTCTGTTATGCATGCCTCTGGATTTTAATATTCATCACAGCTTCAATATCTTTGCCAGTTAGCGCCTAGCCTTCTCGGGTACAAGTAATTGCTGTCCTGGCCCTTTTTGATTTAGGGCTTGTAGCACGTGTTGTTGTCCGTCGGAGGACTGTGTTGTAGCGTGTTATGAATTTAAATTTCAGAATGTCAAAATCAAATAATCAGTGTGGGTGTTTTGTGTATGAGCGCCGTGTAGATGCCCTCCTATGTGGTTAAATTGTTGGACTGACGCAGACTTCCTCTCTCTTTTCCTCTAGGCAAGGTGTTGAACACTGATTTGCGTCACTACCTCAGCCTGCAGTTTCAGAAGGGCTCCCTGGACCATAAGCTCCAGCAGGTGATCAGGGACAACCTGTACCTGCGCACCATTCCCTGTGAGTAGCCTCTGGATGCCAGTCTCCTCTCTCTCTCTCTCTCTGTCTGGGTTCTGCTTGTTGCCCTCTGACCCCTCCAGATGGAGCCTGGTCTGTTGTCATCTGTGGCTCTACCTGCGCCATCCTACTTATTGTCTTGCCGGCATTTCCCATGTTGGCTACACTTCCTATGCCGCCATTTAATTATATGTTGTCACCATTTAGAGCAGGGTGGGCCAAACATTTTCAATTGTGGGCCATATACAGAAAAAACATAAGGTGTCACGGCCAAACAATAGTGAACGCAAAAAAAAAACACACCACGTAGTCAGCTCAGCAATATGGTGAAAATATGTGGGCTGATGAACGGGCCCATAAAATTTACCGGTACAGTAGTTTATCGGTGTGCCCACATGTTACAAAAAATATTTCTGTATCTGCTACTTTAAATTAAAATTGTATTAATTCAATACTTTAAAAGCTCTTATACAGTGCATGGCCTAAGTGCCCACTTGAAGTAGAATATTATGTGTAAATCCGTATATAATTAAAGTTACATGCAGATATTGCCAAATATTGTTTTCTGTTCATGGCCTACAGGCCTACTGAAGAGATTGCGATGCATATATAAGATGTAAAACAGGCCGAAATGGTCAAATATGGTTTTCTGTGCTAAGAGGTTAAGACGGAGATCATTTCACTAAGTTCAGTCGGCAGTGTATGAACTGGGATGTGCAATTTACAACCAGTGCATTATTATTTGAAATATACTCAAGCCATATTTTAGGACATTCACCAGCTGTAGTTTGGCCACCTATGCATTGTAAAAGTATTATAACGTATTAAAACTATAGGAGTTATAATACACTCGGATCCTTGCACAACAAAAAGTCAGCGAGTGACCAGCACAAGTATTATGGTACCTTATAAATCATTGTAAAATGTGTTGTGATTGTTGCATTATGAATATTTCTGGCTGCTTATAACTTATACATGTTACAGTGCTAGAAGCAGATTATAATGCATTATAGACACAACTATTCACTTCATAATCCCAACGCAATGAGTAATGGCACCCAGTTTTAGTCTTAATGTAACTCTGATGTCCTAGAAAAACCTGAGAAGACTTTGATGCAGAAGGCTCACATTGATATTATTATTATTATTATTATTATTATTATTATGAGTGAAATATGCTCTGACTTCAGGGTTTGTACAAAAGAAACTGTATTGGAATCGAGGGGTATGGCACACTTTCTCGGTCTTTGTGTTTAATTTAATGAAAATGAGTTTTAAGAGAGACATTTATTTTCATATAAACAAAGATTTTTTTCTGATTATAGTCAGACCTTGGTTATCTTACAATTGAAGGCGTGAAAGAGTGCTGCTAACATTTTCCTCCATTTCTCTCTTGTTTAGTTCTCCGCTGCTCCTCTTAAAATAGAAGAATAGAAAAACAGGACGGAACGATTTCGTTTTTACACCCCAGTGATTTCAAAATGGACATCGAGGCCAACAGGCGTAAATGAAAGAGCAGCTGTAATTTTCTGGGCTGTACAGCTGAGTTAAAAAAACAACAAAAAAAACAACGAGAAAATGTTTTTGCCATTTATCACTGCTCCAGACATGGTTCATTATCTGCGTTTCAAAAGCTCTCATATCTGACATTTTGCATGAAAGGAAAGCCATTTAAAGAGCACCACTTGAAGTTACATTTAAATGTACAATAAAGCAGTGATGATTAATCAGACATAATAACAACAGCAGGGCTTTCTACTTCCTCATCTTGCTGAGTGACTCTGTCCACAGATTTGCTTTAGAAATGTATGAAACAATTTACAATTTGCTCCATAGCTATTTATCTGCATTAAAAGCAGTCACCACCATCTCTTACATATCAATACGATAATTACAGTTAAGCACTGATAGTACACACCATGTTCTAGTAATACCCATTTACGTACAGTCCACTTCAGAGGGTCAACACTGAAGATCTAAAAACTGGTGCCATGCATATCCCACGCGAGACACTGCAGTCTGGCTTCAGTAGCGCAGCATATGTCTCTTGTCCACTGTGCTCATGCAGGCCCGTGCCAGTAGCTTATCACAGCGCACTGAGCCACAGTGACCGCGCGAGGAGCCTAAATAGCCACTACAGCGTGATGCCTGGGCTCATTACAGCAGCGCGAATGGCATCTCAAAGCGAGGGAAGCATGACTTCCCGCTTGCGCTACACACAGCGAGGCTTTATTAAGTGTCACTGCTGCCTCCCACAAAAAGATGACAGGAGCTCAAGAAAGTGCCAGGGGTCCAGGGCACCACGGAAATCCTTGAGGCCTGGCTAAATCCCGACCCACAGCTCCTCCACCAACTATCTTTTTTTAATATTTTTTATTATATATAAATCCCTGGGCATTAATATTTGTCATGGTATGGCAATCAGCTCCAGTGTCATTGCCAGATTTAAAAAAAAAAAAAAGAGTAAAAAAAAGTTCCTCCTGTTTTCAATCCTAGCATTTATTATAATTTGTTTTTGAAGATTTAAGATTTATGTATCTCATCATTTAGTCTTCCTACTGCAGAGAAATAGAAAGTTAAACGTGGATCGTATTAAATTCTGTATTTTATATAAAGATTGCATTAATCCACAGTGCTATTTTTAGATTGTAATGCATTATAAGTCATAGAAAGTGTTACCCTATATTTCCTCATCCAAAACACACAGTGGAGATTCATTTTATTATAGTAGCATTATTACATTACGCAGGATTTTTATATGGATCAGATGGATGCTTATCAGAAAGGTATATGATCAAACCAAACTTGTTTTATGGAGTGCTTGTTTTCTTACCATCTATAAATCAGATTAAAAACCACAGCAGTCCAGTTTTTCATTACATGGCCTAATTTGTGTGCAGCAAGCTTCTTATTTAGAATTACATAAGTAAAATATATATTATATAACTGTGTGAAAAGCTATAAGTTAATATATTAGCTTCTTAGCAAACAAAGCAAAGCAAGTTTAGTAATTGTTTGTGATGAACGCAGATTATTAATACCTTAATAACATCATTGACCAGATGAGTTAAGCATCAATGCTCCTTAAATTATCAGCAGCATAGAAGCATCAAGCTACTGCTGCAGTTCAATGTAAGCTAGTTGATCTTGTAAGATAACGCTCCAGAAATCATCTTTTTAATCTGATATGTGCTCCAAAATGGGCAGACTGCATGAGGTCAATATTGTTGCTGCCCTCCAAGTTAGTATTCTACTTTATTGTGTGTTCATCAGACACTACAGCCAACGTCCAACAGTCCCTCTTTGTTTTTCTCGAAATTTAAAGTTGACACAATCTGATCTGGTACCTGTCAGTTTAATGTGTTTCTCTTTTTTTCTGTTCTATTGTTCAGCTGCAATTAGCATCTTATAGCCTTGGTGGTAAACGCTTGTCACACGGCCTCTGGTGCCCCACTGTGAGTGGGTGTTCAACACACAAAACAGAGTTTACACCTATAAAGCTGGAGAGCTATGTAATGTTGTTACGCCCGTAGACCCAGTGACTACTAGGATTCGTTTTCTTTCGGTGTGCCGCTTTTGTCTTGTCTCACTGCGGTCGTTTCATCTCTTCAAACAGAGGCTTGTGAGGAGCCACACACAAGATGGAAGTTCAAACATCTCTTTTCCAGTGAGAATTACCAGCAAATTTCTTCTTGTCTTCTCTTCAAAGCTCCTTATCCCAGCGCTCCTTCTCAGATAACGGTTAGATTTCCAGTTTCATCAGTCTTAGGCTGGGGTGTGATCATACTCTTCACTCCTCACAGCTGTCCAGGTGTGGAGACCGAAGAGATGCTGTGCTTTGTGAGTGCAGATAGCATCCGCTGCTTCCGGTTTCCCCATTATTTCTTTTAAGCTGTAAAGAATCCTGTCACCTCACACGGTTACAGCAGTACTTACAGACACCTCAGATGATAAAACTATAATTACAAAAACACATGATGGTGTTAGGAGAATTAGAAGTGAAAGGGTTGCTAAAACTTATTTGAGAATCTTCTCGTAAGTTAGCTGAATAAACAATAAAAAGCTTAATAATTGCATTTCCACGTTCCTTCTTCCAAAAGCAAGCTCATATTTCCTCCCTCCGTGGCTTTGCTGGTCCCCTCTGATTGCTCTGTTTGACAGAATAAAAGATTGTCTCCGCAACCGACTAAGCTGTTTCAGATGTGATGGCTCATACCTCTAAATTTCCTTCTGCCTGCAGTGCAGCCAGATAGCAGAGCAGCAGTTCAACTGAGGTAGCGTAAAAAAGCCCTGATTACATCTAAGATGACGGCAAGCAGAGTCGGCATGTTAGGGAGCGTGAAATCATTTTCATAACAATGCGTTTCCAAATGTCTCGCAGATGAGAGTACATCAACAGGGAAAAACATGACACGTTCTTTAACCGGTTGCGGCAGTTATGGTGGATTGCTATTTAACGACTGGAACTTTGCATGAACTGGAATGTGGCGGAGAGCTTGACTTTTGGAGCGGCAGTGTGTTTTAGGGGGAAAACAGAAGTAAAGATCTTTACAAGGAAGGAGAGAAAGTTGGAACTCATGTTGCTTCAAGATCATTTCAACCATAAAGCAACTGACCTCGACCATCACCACTGGCATGAAGGAGACGGTACACTGTAATACGTGTCACTGAATTTTACACCCATGACCTCGTTCATCCTTGGTTTATGAACGTGAATAAATCCCTCTGGAGACAGGGCTGCCTCTAAGGCCGTAACCTTTTAGTGTTACAGGAAAGGACTTTGACGATAAAGATGCCATGGGGGGCATTCACAAATTGATTCTTTGGTCTATCGCAAATAGGGATGTCGCAGAAAAGGTCTGGTGTAAACAAGATGTTTACTTGAATAGCATTATACTGCCAAGTCACCATGAAACATTTTTGTTTAATCGTTGTTTTCCACTATGTTGCCTTGGACACCAAGCTGTACGTGGGATCGAGGATATATTGTTTTGTGAGCGCACAGCAAATGTAAAAGTAGTTTAATTATTCAACAATAATGCAGAAGGTCGACAGTGAAGTTAGCCTTCATCTATTTATGTAGTTGGTGCACAACTTAGTAAAGCCGTCTTTTCTAAATTCTATGTATCGCATTAATATATTATTTAATTGCATCCTTGAGGAATAAAAGTGATGCTGCACAGAAATCAAAGAAAAAGTGTGCAATTATAATCCTGTTAATTGTCATTATCATCACACTTCCTCTGTATTCTGACAGCTGTGTTGGTGCTAGAGAGGATGTTTTATATTTTAATAATGCATTCGTATCTTTGTGGTTTCAGCTCTGATGACTGTCTGATTCATGATGTAGACACACATTTGTTTGGATGTTCCCTCCGTCTTAAACTGTGTCATTATTGGCAGGTACCACTCGGCAGCCCAGAGAGGGGGAGGTTCCTGGAGTGGACTATAATTTCATCAGTGTGGGGGAGTTCCGGGACCTGGAAGAAAGCGGACTGCTGCTGGAGAGTGGCACCTATGATGGTACGTCTCAATGCAACACATACGTCAACTCTACAACACTATAGATGGGGATGTATATACTGTTTATTTTGCGTAGCTGCTTGAGTCAGAGATGGTTGGTTGAGGTTAGGTATTGTGAGGGTTAGATGTTTTCAGGGGAGATCCAGACCGCTGGACTTTCCAGTCACACCAAAAATTAACTGGATCCGGTTAACAATCAAAAAGTATTTAATAAACAAGAGAAGCTAGAACAGTTGCAAACTGAATTACTCTATCGATATCGATATCAATATGTCCCCAGGGCAGAGTTCTCACAAGGCCCACTAAATAGCCCAGCCCAGCTGGTAAACTACCCAGAGTGGTAACGGCGCGACCTCTGGCCAAAACCCTCTGGAACTAAGCCTATATTTAAAAGTCTCTGTCCGAAAGTTTAAATGTCCAGTATCAGCCTCTATGATTGGCCGAAATTCAATAGCCCCTCCTGGCTTGGGGCAGTTATCATCTCAGTGTTTGGTTGAAGTCGTCCGGACTCCTCCTCAGGTCCTGGTGGTCAGTTGTCCACCCCTCTGTCCTCTGCTGCACCTCTGTAAAGTCTCACTCAAAATGTTCCCTTTCTGACCCTCAAAACTATTCATACAGTGTTTTAATACCTTTAGAGACTATACTTCTATGGTTTAATACATTCAGTAAGTAAAATACTGTAACATAATATCCTCTACAAGTAAGAATATTGTAAACATAATACATTCCATAAGTAAATATTTTGTGACATTCTTATTATTGTGACACTTCTACTCACCACTAGGGGTGTTATTTAATCCTACTTATAATATTTCTAATACTGAAATCCTCCACAGTATCGACAGTAGACTTATTTGTTTAATACCCCCGAAGGGCGGGACTCAAAGAGAAACGGACAATGCCATGCATTTATCAATACACAGCACAGAGAGAGGCACTTCTGAAATCCCGCCTCCAATTTCCCACTGGGCATTGACCCTGAGTGGTAAGGGTCAGGACAGCCCATTGGTCATGGCAGAGAACCGTAATAAACCAGGTTACCGGTAAACCATGAGCTCACAGATTTGCGTGGTTGCCTCGTTGCCTTTCAGTTGTGGTCCGTGTCGTGTTGCCCCCGACGTCTCACAAACGCATCCGTAAAGTAAACATGAAGTCATATTGACTCGCGGGTAACTCGTGTATTGAACAGTTTTGATGAGCCATCGCCCCACTGCGTTGACCCACAGGGGGAAATCAAATACCGGTTGCTGACGGCAAGTCATGCAGCACTTTACTGCCTTTTTACGGGTATATTTGTGTTCTCGCAAAGGGCTCACCAAGAAATAACTGATTATGAGCAATATTAGTCGAGACTGCAACTCGAGCTCATGTTATGAATAATGAGAAACAGGCGGGAGCAAGATGAAAAAGAAGAGGCTTAACATAATAATATGGGAGGAAAGTTACTTTTAAATGAGGAAGTGCCAAAATACATGGAGTCGAACAGAAACGCTACACCGCTTGTTTTTAATTCCTTTTCAACTCTGATGCATCACGGAAGGTCACTCAGGAGGTGTTGTGCATACAAGTTACCATGGTTGTCAAATGAACTTACACGAACAGGCTTCATACGCTGCTTATATACGACGCTCACTTTGAAGACAGAGCTTCTTCAGGTGGTCTCAGTCTGCTTGTTTGGACCAGTTGACCGCTTTCAACTGAGCCAAACGGGCAAACACGTCTCAGTTCGCGAGATAGTCAAACTAATTTAAACTTGGAGAGAAAAACTACAGCTCAAAGAATGCAGAGAGAGAAACACAGCATTAAGTGATCACTACGGTACATGATCCCAGTCCGCCCTGGGGACACGGCTGCAGGCCGAGGGTGAATCCCAACACCGTGCCCCGGCTATTAGTTCTCTCGTGTTTTTGCCGAGCTGTGCACTATTAGGTCATCGCATGAAGTCAACACATTGCCGAAGTCATCAGCAGACTGTCACTGTACGTGACCAAGCTGGAGATAATATACCCCCAAGTGATTTTGAGGCCGAGAAGAACTTCTGGTCCTTTCACACGTTGTGTCGTAAATCTCTTGGCTACGTTAGTCCGCCCTCTGTCCCATACCCAGCCCTTCAACCCTGAACCTATGAACCAGTCAACAGGATGAATAATGGATCTGTTCTGCCCTTCCCTGCTTAATGTAACACAACCGTATGTTTATTGACGGCGCAGATTCAGAAGCCCACAGACAGTTAATCATTAATGCTCAGACTTTTGACCTCCGAGTCTCCACAGATAAGCTGTTAGACAAACACAGATCTACAGACAGACAGGCACTTGAATGCAGGTAAAGAGGGAGGGAGAGATATTCACCACATAATGAATGAATTCTCCATGACGAGTTAGTCACCGACTGCAGATCTGTTACTTGTCGCCACAGCTAGTATAGTGTAGATTGTAAAATTAGCCTTGAGCACCCATTCACACAGAGATGCATTGGTGAAAGATTTTCTTTAATTTGTACTAACAACGTAGGATGTAAGTCAGGACTTGTTGGTGCAAAAATAGTTCAACTTTTGTGGATTTCATGTAGATTGAGTTCTTTATGCAGCAGATTAAAAAACATTTCTCACTAGTGCGATGCAAAAATGCGGTGTGGAAATCGGAAAGTCCTCATGCAAAACACAATACATAAATCAGACGCCAAATTTGATGCTAACGTTAGCTGATGTGGCTAGCCCATTCCGTGACAGTCGTATAACATTAACAAGTGCATATCGGCTAAATTGCTACAGTCATCTTATCTCAGCAGCTGTGCGATCTCAAGCCAGATATTGTCCCTTATTTGTTTATTTGAGGTAGTAGTCGCAATGTTTGTCGTACATTATTGGATGTTGACAAAGGGACTGCCCATTATTCTAAAAAAATTTCAATTTGACAGGGAAAAAAAACATTTGTCTGACAATAGGACCATTTTTTTCTAAAATACACACTCTCCTTGCAACAAACAGAAGCACATGCCTAATTATTATGCATAATGATGGTAATAATTTTAATGGATTGTCTTTCATTGGTCAAACATTTATTTCCCCAGGTTGAAATTCGCTGAAATCGAGGTTCGTCCGAATATTTTATCTCCTGCACAAAAGTGCCGCAGTTGTGTGAAAGCATGCATAAGAACCCACAAAATCTGTTTTTATCAAATTTCCAATAAAATGATTGGGATGGAAATCCACACTTGGTATGAAACGGCTTTTAATGACGCCATAAACTGCTTCTTGGTTCACCCGAACACTTTCTTTTATCTTATTCATTAGTTGCAGATTTTCTAACATCATGGACTCTTTATGTTATTCTGTGTTGTGGTTATAGTATTCATTCGCTTTATGTCTTATGTTGTTTTGTTGTGTTTGATTGTTTCCATGCTGCAAAAAGAATGTCCCTCTTGTGGGACAAAATCTGAACTGAACTGAACTTTGAGTGTCAAGGGCTCAGTGGAAACCACAACTTCATTCCCTTTGTACTTTTTCATTGCTGCCAGTCATTAGCCACCTCCCTCTCTCTCACTGTTTGGGATATGCCCTCCTTAGTGCACAGCTATACTTACTGCATATGTGGCGAATTGAATGGAAACATCTTCCTGGGCAGCCACGTTCACCGCTGTGACTAATCCTCCAGACCTGTGAACAACAGAGGCTGGATGTATCCATGGGTTCATCTGTAACCAAGACACTCCCTCCCACTGCTCTGCTTGAGCCAGTATCTGAGACAATGAGTGTTTCACAGATTGGTTGTCATATCGCTCACCAATAATAGAAAGATATATTTCCGAAGGCCAATATTCAGAAAATACTTCGCCGAGCATAAAAGAGGAAAATTGTGTGTTTATGAGAGCGCTCCTCAGCATTAATCCATTACATTTTCAACTGCCAACAGTCTCGCTCTCTGCATTCTAAGCAGGCATTAGCAGCGACGTTGACTCAGCCGCTGGTAAAGTGGACGGGGAAGTTTAAACGGCACAGAAACAAAGACGGATTCGTTTGCCAGATTTCTTTTTACAGAATGACTAAAGTGTCAATGTGTGAGTAATACTTCTCGAATAATAGATTTGCTTGTGCGCCAGCGTGCATGTATGTGAATTAGGGCAAATCCAATTTTCTACCCCTCACTGTGGTTGGTAAAGAAAAGCCAGAAATATGAATCATTCATGACTGAGACAGCGAGCTGGAAAGAACAAGCAAAATTCAAGGAAAGCAGGTATCTCTCTCTGTTGAAACTCAAAGCAGGCAACAGTGGATATAAAGATCTCAGCTGAAGAAGCAGCATGAACGTGTATGATGTCTTATTGTTGCCCAAGTTATGCTGACACTGCTACCATTTATTAAGTATGCATTCCATATGCCTTTCTATCGTGGGCTTTTCTTTTATAGTTGTTCGATGCTAGGAATGCTGGATATGGTGTTAGCATTTACAAGGCTAGAGTCAGATTCACAACCTTGATTGGAGGTTTAAGCTAGGTTCATGGGTGAATGAAAGTGACTCACTGCAAGCAAACTACAGAATAACACACCATGAATCAAGCATAAGAGGCTGGGACAAAGAAAACAGGGCATGAGTTCTACAGAAAAGGCTGTGCTGTCGTACTTTCCTTCTAGCTGACACTTAAAAAAAGGGATGAAGATGAAATATCTGTTTTGTTTTTGCAATACAAAATGTACTCCCCTTGACAATCATGGACTTTACTGGTAAATAAATGATCATTTACTGTCCCCTTGTTTTGCTGGGTCACATTGCCTTCAGCCATTTTGTAATAGGGTCGTTTTTGTTATGATGGGCTTTGTGAAGTTCTGAGGCAAAGCTGAATAGCTGTGGATTAGATGGAAGCAGGGCAACAGGCTAGAAGTCACGGAGGAAGGAGGGTGCAAAGGTGCTGCGCTAGCAACAGCTGCCCACTCCGAGGAACCGGCAAATCAGAGGCTTGAAGGATTAAGAAGTGCCTCCGCTCTCAGGACTGCACTGCTG